AGCTTCTGCAGCCTCGACCTGCTGGGCTCCGGCGATCCTTCCGCCTCAGCCTTCCAAGTGACCGGAACTACAGGTGCGCGCTGCCACGCCCGGCTAATTTTTTGATTTATTGTAGAGAATGAGGTCTTGCCAAGTTGCCCGGGCGAGTCCCAAACCCGTGGGCTTAGGCACCCCTCTTGCCTCAGCCTCCCAAAGTGCTGGGATTACAGGCTGAGCCACCGAGCCCGGCCTATATGGTGGAAATTTTACCCTACCTTTCTTTTCTCCTCTTCTTTAGAAGATTGTCCCATACTTATATTTGCAGAGATTGTGAGGAATAACAACCTTTTGTATATTCCTCTCCCAGCCAGTCTTATTTTCTTTTACTCACTCATTTACCTGTTCATTCAGTCAATACGTATTTTCTTGATTAGTTGAATTCTAAGCAATTATTTGGTATAAAACAACTATAAATAAATGGGATAAGATTCTGAAAAGACTCTTTTCTTTGGCCTTTTTTTAAAAACTAGTTCTTCTGTTCTTCTCTTGATACTTGATTTTTAATTTGGGGAAAATGTTAATAAATTCTATAAGGATATGTGTAACTTAATGTTACTATTGAGGAATTGAGATGAAAAAGTATAGAGGTATTGGGAAAACTACTCTCATTTATATTTACTGACTTTTTTATTCCTCCTTGTAAGATATTACCTGTAAACTCCACTGTGGCGAGGTGTGGTGGTTCACACCTATAATCCAGCCCTTTGGGAGGCCAAGGTGAGAGGATTGCCTGAGCCCACAGGTTCAAGACCAGCCTGGGCAAATTGGTGAGACCTCATCTCTACAATAAATCAAAAATTTAGCCAGGCATGGTGGTGCATGCCTGTAGTTCCAGCTCCTTGGAAGGCTGAGGTGAAAGGATTGGCTGAACCCAGCAGGTTGAGGTTACAGTGGCCATGAGCATGTCACTACACTCCAATGTGGGCGACAGAGTGAGACTCCGACTCAAAAAAAAAAAAATCAAATTTATAGACAAGGAAAACTTCTAGGCTCAAATACATAACAGTGAAGCTACTACTGGTGGAAGGAATGCATGTACAACATGCATTCTAAACCTAAGAAGCAGAGACTTTAGGGTGGAGAACACCATATACATCACCTCTAGACTGGCCTATGAGAGTCAGAGAAAGAGCAGACTTGGTGAAGTTCATGCAGCCACCAGCTGATCACCTCACCCAATGCTGGAGAACCCATTGGACGCTGTGTTACTTTCAGATGACCTAAGGGTGGGTTTCTGAGCATGCGCAGTGACACTCGCTCCCGTTGTGAACGATCAGGCCAAGGACATCCGCCACAGAGAAATAAGAGCCATACTGGAAGAGTGGAGAGGAAACTAAAGACATTCTTGTTTCTTCAGACAGCAGAAGCTTCCTCATCACAGCAGTAGAGCAGGGGCCTAGTTGAAAAGCTTCCTGTTGCACCAAACAGGGCTCCCTGGACTCTCAGCAACATCTGGGCTATGAGGTCCAACCAGCTTTCCAGGGTGCTGGAAACCTTGATTTTACAATCCCCATTATAGATCTCCACTCCACCAGCTATGCCCTCTAGCAGGTAGGACTCCTTGTCAGTTTGGACAACAACATTATTCTTGGTGGCAACTTTGTATTTGGGGATCTCCTTCTGCACTGCAGCCTTTATCAGAGGGAAATCTCGTTTCTTGCAACAAACGATCATCCGGGGCTCCAAACTGACACAAATCCTGAAGGACCAGTGCATCCAGCAGCACTTGGTACCTGGTTGTATCTTTCACCTCCTCCGTGAGTCTGTTTTGCTTCATTTAGTAAGTCTGTGATAAGCTCATCTCTCACTCTCAGGACTTTGACCCTTGCTTGATTCATCAAATTGGACATCTGAATTTTCTTCTCGTAGTATTCCATACTCTTTAATCTATGGGTTTGCACAAACCGACTTTTCGCAGTGTTGAACTCTTCTTCTGTCTTTGCATCTATCCTGCTTTCTCATTGGCTTCTTGTTCAGTGAAAGCCATTATATGCTTAATCTGCTTTTTTTGTTTCTGTTTTTGAGTCAGAGTCTCACTGTTGCCTAGGCTCCGGAGTCCAGTGGCATGCTCATGGCCACTGCAGCCTCAGTCTGCTGGGCTCAGGTGATCCTTCTATCTCAGCCTTCCAAGTGCCACCATGCCCAGATAATGTTTTGGTCTATAGTAGAGATGAGGTTTTGCCAAGTTGCCTGGGCTGGTCTTAAACCCATGAGCTCAGGCAATCCTCTCATGTCCCCTCCCAAAGTGCTGGGATTATAGGCATGAGCCACCACTCCTGGCCTTAATCTGCTTTTGCAAGTTGGCATCGCTGAGGCCCATGGCAGAAGCAGTGCTAGGCTGGTGGGCAATGGGATCAAGTTTAGGTTTGAAGCGAGCAGTGGAAGGAATTAAAAAGTAATTTTAAAGCAATCTTCTTATTTGTTTTAAAAGAGAACTTCATGAAATTATATACAGCTAGGCTGGGCTCAGTGGCTCAGCCTGTAATCCCTGCACTTTGGGAGGCTGAGGCGAGTGGATTACCTGAACCCGTGGATTCGAGACCATCCTGGGCAACTTGGCAAGACCTCGTCTCTACAATAAATAAAAAATTAGCCAGGTGTGACAGTGCATGTCTGTAGTTTTGGCTACCTGGAAGGCCAAGGCGGAAGGACCGCTGGATTCCAGCAGGTCAATGCTGGGGTGGCTGTGAGTGTGCCACTGCACTCTAGCCTGGGCAACTGAGTGAGACTCTAACTCAAAAAAAAAAAAAAAAAAAAAAAGAAAGAAAGAAATTATATATAGCCAGCTGAGTTACTCTATATTTACCTATTACAATTTTTTTTAAAAATCAGGATCTCCTGTTGCCCAGGTTGGAGTTCAGTGGCACAGTCACAGCTCACTGCAGCCTCGACCTCTTGGGCTCAAGCAATCCTTCCATCTCAGCCTCCCAAATAAGCTAGGACTATAAGTGCGTGCCACCATGCCAGCTAATGGTTTTATTCTTTGTAGTGACGAGGTCTCACTATGTTGCCCAGGCCGGGGAATTATAATACTTCAAGAATTAATTGAAGAATGACTTGATTGTAAGAATTGCTTGATTATTCAGTAGTGGATAACTGAAAATCTATTTTAAGACACCTGAACAGTTTCTCTGATTGGGATCTTTTCTTTTTAATTTCAGTATCAGAAGCTTTGAGATCAGCAGGGCTACCATCTCACTCTCCTGTAATTTCACAGCATTCTAAGGGAAGTAAATCACCAGATTTGTTGATGTATCAGGGTCCACCAGACACTGCAGAAATAATAAAAACATTACCTCAGAAATACAGAAGGAAACTTGTGTCTCAAGAAGAAATCGAATTTATTCAAGTATGTGTTGCTCTTTATTATAAGACTGTGCAAAACATAACTGTTTGGCTTTTGGAATTTCCTTTGCTGATTGCATGCTCCTACCATGGTCTTGTTATGGTATGGTCATAGCTAGGGTAGATAGACGGTCAGGTATGCAAGGACTGTGGGAAACACAGTCAGCGCCCTCAGTAAATGGGCCTGATGTATCAGTATGAATAGCTATAACCACATAAAAAAGAGCTCTGTGGGGTCCTGAGTCATTTTTCACTGTGTAAAGAGCTTCTGAGACCAAGAAAATTGAGGACAGCTGTTCTAGGTCAACCTTGCCCTTTCTGGATCTGAGTTTATGTTTATGACAATTGATATGAGTGCCCAGAAGTTATCAAAAACCGTTCATTTTTTTTAACTAAAGATTATTTGCTTAAATGTGTATATTTGTAAAGTGACCATGAAAACATTCCCTCTGTCAATTCAATATGTAATCTTATTGCTTTTTCTCCCCCCTTTTCAGCGTGGAGGTCCAGAATAATCCCTGTGGCTACTGTTTGTCATCAGACAAAAGAATAATCTTTACAATAAAGGACTTCCAAAATGAGAAATTGTATATGAAACAACTTTAATAAATATTCGGAAAAAAACGAAATATAGAAAATTTAGATGGACAATTGCATCTCCTAATTTATGTATCTTGGTCAGCTTCTCCATAAGCTTACCTGATTGTCTACGTACTTTATACTTATTAAAAGAATACATTTTTAAATGTTAGCCTATTTACTCCTGATTATCAAATATTGCCAGTGTTGAACTATTTTTTTTTTTTTTTGAGTTGGAGTCTCACTCTGTCACCCAGACTAGAGTGCAGTGGCCGCTCCCGGCCACCGCAGCCTTGACTCGCTGGGCTCTGCCGATCCTTCCGCCTCAGCCTTCCAAGTAGCTGGAACTACAGGTGTGTGCTACCACACCCGGCTAATTTTTTATTTATTGTAGAGATGAGGTCTCGCCAAGTTGCCCAGGTGGGTCTCGAACCTGCAGACTCAGGCAATCCACTCACCTCAGCCTCCCCAGGCGAGGGATTACAGGCTGAGCCACCGAGCCCGGCTAGTGTTCAACTATTCAAAGCACACAGTGTCTAGTAAACTGTAATAGGTTTCCCATAATGTCACCTTTTTTTGTTTCTATTTAGACATGGAAATAATTTATCGGGCAGAATTCCTGTTTTAGGGATGTGAGTAAACTGTAATAGGTTTCCCATAATGTCACCTTTCTTTATGTTTATGTTTACACATGGAAATAATTTATCAGGCAGAATTCCTGTTTTAGGGATGTGATTTTTCTGAAATTGGATGCAAATCAGGAAATAATGAACCCATTATCTGTTCTTAATTCTCTAAATTTTTTTCATTCACAAGATTACTGGAGTGTAACTGGCTTAATGAGTGACACAAAGCCAGCCGGTAGCTCACGCCTGTAATCGCAGCACTTTAGAAGGCCGAGGCAGGAGGATCCTTGAGCCCAGGAGTTTGAGGCCAGCCTAGACAACATAGCGAGACTTTGTCGCTATAAAAAAATTTTAAAAATAGCTGCCATGGTGGCATGTACCTGTAGTCCCAGCTACTCAGGAGGCTGAGGTGGGAGGATTGCTTGAGTGCCCAGTAGGTCAAGGCTGCGGTGAGCTGTGGTTATGACACTATACTCCAGCCTGGGCAACAGAGCGAGACTCCGACTCAAAAAACAAAAAAAGAAAAAAATATCGCCAAGGTAAAATAGGTGACTGTGGTATTAACACTGAGAAGATGACACAGATGATTTTTGTAATTTATATTCCAAAAAATGTCAAAGTATACAAAGGAAATACATTAAGAGATCCAAAATGAATATAGCATAGGAATAAATGTTTTACTAGAAATTACAGTTTATACTTTGGAAGATGTTAAGAAAGTCTTGTTGTTTGGTTTGTATTACTGTTTTGATTGTAATCATGTATGAAAATCCTGGTGACTGTTAACTTTCTCAAACTTAATGTCTGAAAGCCTCATAAAATCAGCGTAAATATTCACCTTATTAAACAATTTATGAAACTTTAATAGGGTCTTCCTGTGCCAAGGATATAAATGTTGTGAAGTAAAGCCTCACAAAGCTAAATAAATGCTCTTCCATACCTTTAGTGATTTCTAGAATATGCTTTAGTCATCCCCAGTACTAAGGGTAGCTCATGAGCAAGAGACAGAATTGTTGAGTTTGTTTCTGTATTTGCCCAGTTGCCTGTGGGTTAATCTTTACTTTTTTCTAGTACTCTAAAGTTAATCTGCTTCTGTAAATTCTGTGCTGTGGCCTAGTGGAAATGTTGCCTGATACAAATATGAGGGCTTGGGGTTCAGTGCTAGCAATAAGTTGTTCTGGTGACTCATGAAAAAATAGATAATATTTAGAGTTGGAGGCTCACTCTGTCACCCAGGCTAGAGTGCAGTGACACAAACACAGCCACCACAACGTCAACCTGTTGGTGTCAGGTGTTGCCTCTGCCTCAGCTTTCAATGAGCTGGAGCCACAGGCACGCACCACTATGCCTGGCTAATTTTTTGATGTAGAGACGAGGTCTCGCCAAGTTGCCTAGACTGGTCTCAAACCCCTGGGCTCAGGCAGTCATCTCACCTCTGCTTCCCAAAGTGCTGGGATTATAGGCATGAGCCACCACGCCTGGCCTTGTTTATTTTTTTTATTTTTTTATTTTTTGAGTTGGAGTCTCACTCTGTCGCCCAGACTGGAGTGCAGTGGCCGCTCCCGGCCACCGCAGCCTTGACCTGCTGGGCTCTGGCGATCCTTCCATCGCAACCTTCCGAGTAGCCGGAATTACAGGCACGCGCTACCACGCCCGGCTGATTTTTTGATATATTGTAGAGATGAGGTCTCGTTACCGAGGCGGGTCTCGAACCCGTGGGTTCAGGCAATTCACTCACCTCAGCCGCCCAAAGGCGCGGGATTACAGGCTGAGCCACCGAGCCCGGCTGTTTCTTTTTAAAATTACTTTGTTTAATTTGAGAAAATTACTTTAAAACTACCACTATTCTCTTTTTTTCTCCTTAGCTATGCCCTTTCAGTAAAAGGAAGCCCAGGATTGCCTTTTTGCTTTCAGAAATGAATTTGGGTTCAGAAAATGAAGAGTGATTTGTGTAATACCTTGAGCCAATATCTAGAAACTCTAATACTGGGGGCAATTTTTTTTTTGAGTTGAAGTCTCACTCTATCACCCAGGCTGGAGTGCAGTGGCAGGCTCATGGCCACCCCAGCGTTCACCTGCTGGGCTCCAGCCATCCTTCTGCCTCAGCCTTCCAAGTAGCCCAAACTGCAGACTCATGCTACCACACCAGGCTAAGGACACTCTTGACTACGACTGCTGCCATTAAAGTAAAAATGAAAAAAATATGTCACTTATAGAATTTACAGTATACTATGGCAAAAAGGCATGTCATTGGGAATTGTCACAGGATAAGCTCCCAAGGAGGCCAGTATCAGAATGCTGGCTAGGCTTAGAGTCAGTCAGCTTGTATTTTCATTTTGGGGTTAAGCACTTAAATATATATAATCTGCAAATTGCTTAATGTATCCAAGTTTTGGTCTTCCTTTACAGTGATCAAATTAGTGTATTATGTATTATAACAAATCACCCCAAAATTAAGTGGCTAAAAACAGTAGCCAGTAGTTCATGGTTTATCTGGGTCAGGAATTCAGAAGCAGCTTCCCTGGGCAGTTCTGACTCCGTATGCCTCATGAGGTTGCAATCAGATACCACGTAAGGCTGCAGTCATCCAAAGGCTTGGCTGGGGCCACCTGAATGAATTCATGACATGGCTGGCTTTCCCCAGAGCAAATAAGCATGTCAGTCAGAACAGCATCCTTTTATGACTGAGGCTCAGAAATCACACTTCTGCCATATTCTATTGGTCACACAGAACCATCTGTTTCATTGTGAGGAAGACTACACAAGTGCACTGATGATACCAGGGGCAAGGATCATTATGGCCATCTTGGAAGCTAAGCTAATGCAGATGTGGAAGTGCTTTGTAAACTAAAATGCTATGCAAATGCTTAGTGGTATTTTCTTTTTCTCTCTCTCTTTTCTTTTAGCTCAAGGTACTCAAATGGTATTTTATATATTCAATGACCTCACTGCCCCTAGAATGTCATCTAAATACTGCCTTCATTATCCTGTTTTAAACGTCCTAAAATAGGAAGTTGCTTGTCAGCAGCACAGTATGATATACTGCTTATCAACTCATGTGCCGTGGCACACTTGGAACCTCATATCTCAGTTGTGCCACCAAATCTGGTTCACTAGTTTATTTCTTTTTCTTTTTTTTTGAGTTGGAGTCTTACTCTGTTGCCCAGACTCGAGTGCAGCGGCCGCTCCTGGCCACTGCAGCCTTGACCTGCTGGGCTCCGACAATCCTTCGGCCTCAGCCTTCCGAGTAGCTGGAACTACAGGTGCGTGCTACTATGCCCACTGATTTTTTGATTTATTGTAGAGATGAGGTCTCACTGCCCAGGCGGCTCTCGAACCTGCGGGCTCAGGCAATCCACTCACCTCAGCCTCCCAAAGGCGCGGGATGACAGGCTGAGCCACCGGGCCCAGCCACTAGTTTATTTCTACTTCAAGTGAGATCAAATCACAGTTACGATATTGTTCAGAAGAAACTGACAAGTCATGTTTCTGATGAAACCATGCATTAGTAGGTATGCATGACTTGCCACAATTACGAGAAATAAATGTTAAAGATGGTGTGTTTTGTGCAATGTGAGAATTACACGTGGACAAGGGGCTGAAAGACAGTAACAGCTAACATAAAATAAGCTATTAGCTGTCAGACTTTTGAGTTGGATTCTCACTCTCAGAGCCACCGCAGCCTCAACCTACTGGGCTCAGGCGATCCTTCTGCCTCAGCCTTCCAAGTAGCTAGACTCCAGGCACATACCACCATGCCCAGTTAATTTTTTTGATTTATTGTAGAGATGAGGTCTCACCAAATTGCCCAGGCTGGTCTCAAATCCCTAGGATCAGGCAATCCTCTTCCTCGGCTTCCCAAAATTATAGGAATTAGAGGCTTGAGTCACCATCTCCAGCTATCCTTTTTTTTTTTTTTTGAGTTGGAGTCTCACACTCTGTCGCCTAGACTGGAATGCAGTGGCACGCTCACGGCCATAATAGTCTCAACCTGGTGGGCTCAGGCAATACTTCTGCTTCAGCCTTCCAAGTAGCTGGAACCACAGGTATGTGCCACCACACCCAGCTAATTTTTTGATTTACTGTAGAAACGAGGTCTCTCCAAGTTGCCCAGGCTGGTCTTGAACCCATAGGCTCAGGAGTGAGCCACTGCACCCGCAAGTCAGATACTATTCTGAGGGTTTTGCAAGTGTGAGATCATTTAAACCTTGAAGCAATCCTTTGAGCAGGCCCTATTACAGAGGAGGAAACTAGAAACAAAGTAATTTGATAGAAAGCATACACATAAGATACTCATACTAAAGTATACACACACTTTCTATCAGTCATATCTAGTGACTGAATACTGACTGGCCAGTACTCAAATGCAGGGAGTCCTGTTCTAGAGGAAAAAAAACTGACTATACTATTGACTTTGGTATTCTGTTGCCTTCTTCAACATGTCTCTGAAAATTAGGATTCTAACCTCTAGACATTCGTGATAACAGTTACTCCAGCTCAGAACCTTGGACTCATCCTTTTCACCATCCTTCCTATTGGCTAGAAT